AAAGACAGAGTAGACAAACAGAAACTGTGCATGAAAGTTAGGAATAGCATAAAGTTGTCGATTTTTAAAAAGTATTGTAAATAATGAAATGGTCTTTTCACTTTCAGATGAGAATTTTCCCTTTTTTTTGGTTCACTAGATTGTAGTTATCCTAATTTTGTAGAAGTTCAACTAATGTAAATATCCAATGATTGAGAAATTTTGTATTTTTGTTGTTTTCAGTTACTTGCTGTAGTGTTCTTTTTGGTGAGTCTTACGATTGGCATTATTGTAATAGAATGGAATACAAACTTTGAAAAAAAAAAGACTGTGCAGCTACCCAGTGGATCACTGCTGAATGGAACAGGAAAGTGACAGATCCTTGGGCCTAATGTATTGCTATGTTGTGGAACTGGTCATTCGTTAGAAGAGGTCCCTGTGTATCCTTTCTGTCAGGTCCTTCTCAAATAAATCTTGCTGCCTTTGTTGCATCTGTTAAACGAATCAGTTTGTTGCATTGAGGACACTTGAATATTTTACAGAGTTGTTTTTTTTTTTTTTTTTTGCCAAATCCTGAAGCTTGTGACTATCTGAAACTCTTTTAATACACTTTGAAGATTCAGAGCCCTGCATACCCCAGGCATGCACACTGTTTTTTTGAAAGTGTGCTCTTTCCTTTTGTTCCTAATCAGTAATTACAGCCCCCTAATGGTACCTCTGGAGCAGATGCAGAAGTCAAAGATGCAGAAGGAGGAATTAGCTAGGCGGACACAGGTTCGCAGCAGGGGTGGGGCTGAACACAGTACCACAGGGACTAATGCAGTTGCCGCTGGAAGCAGTTTATTCCTATCACCAGCACTCTCCATTCCTTATATGTATTTCCATTACATCCCTAAATGGGGTGCTCCTCCTCCTTTAAACCATTTATGTTAAAAGAAGCTTCTGGGCCAGCAGGGCTTTTTCATTTTTGTTGAATGGTGAGAAGTTCAAAAGAAAAAGACTGAAGTTGACACACTGTCCCTCTCAGTGCCTCAGTGGCTATTATGTAACTACAACATAGGCACACTTTCATAAGTATTGTCTGTGTTTCTCTAGTCTGGGTGTTTTCCTTGTGTATTAGTTCTGAGTTCTGAGTGCTAAACAACAACAAAAGGTGTCTTTGAAAAGATAAGGTGGCAAACATTGTTTAACATACCGCCTAGAGAAAAGTTTTAATATTTTCCCCAAGAACGATGTCAGAGTTAGGCTTTGCTAGTGCTGCCCTACATGTGGCTGGTAAAAAAATTGTTAGTTGAACTCTACTTCTGTAAGTGTTACTCTTGTGTGTCCCTTGCAGTGATTTTATTAGGTGGTGGGAAAGTGTTTGTATTAACCCTTCAGCATCACTGAACTTGGGGTATCCCATTTCTGTATTTATGTTATACTTCCTTTGATTGAACCATTATTTTCTAATTATTTTTAATCAAGAAGCATTAAAATAATGATGAAAGTAAATAGATTAAGGATTACCAATTTCTTAAATGGAACCTGACTAAATGTAAAATTAAGTCAGTACACCCATACAGAGAATTCCAAGAAGCTAAGTAGCTTTTGAATACACAGCTCTGTGTATGCTAGCACAGTGGTCAAAGTGTGAGATGGAGGACCCTGAGACCCTTTCACGGGTCCATGAGGGCAAATGTAATGTCATAATACTACTAAGATGTTATTTGCCCTTTTTGCTGTGTTGATATTTGCACTCATTGTGCAAAAGCCAAAGTGAGAAAACTGCTGACCTTTAGCATGAATCCAGGTGGTAGCAGCAAACTATATTAGTAGTCATTGCATTATTCACCTCCATGCACTCAATTTACAAAGAAAGTGTCAATTTCATATAAGAATGTTCTGATGAAACAGTAAAAATTATTAAATCTCAACTGTTAAGGACATCTTTTTAATATACTGCATGATGAAATGGGAAGTACATGTAAAACATTTCTGCATAACCATACTTTGTGTAGTGATCATCTGGTTAGCTGAAGGAAAAGATCCTGTGTATAGTGAGACTATGTTCCAGGGCTAGAAAGAACCGCAAAGAAATCTTGAACTGCACTGTTTGTTGTTGGTATATATTGGTGGCGTTAGTTTGGCACTATTTTGTATTTATTGTAGATAGAGCACCACATGGATAAGTATATTAAAAATTTTGGGGATCGAGGGTTTTCCTTGTGGTGGAACAGCGATGCTAATGTGAGATGAGGGAGCAGAGGAAGAAGCCTCCGTGTTGGATTTGAATTCAAGGTGTCAACATGAACTTGTGATTTACCTATTTAAAATATCCTTGCTCTGTCCAAAGAGCCTACAAGCAATGATATTTCATTAACCGAGGTACACCACGTTCTCCGATCTTGGTTTTTAAATGCCATTTCCCAGTGAAAGGTTTCAGGGTTCCTTGGAGAAATGGCTGATTTGAGGTCTGGGACAGGAAACATACAAGGTTAGCTTGCCATGTTCATTGCGTCAGAAAGCAAGGAGGCGTTGAAAGACCCCTAGTACCATGTCAGAAGGACAGAGGATGACTTAAAGGAGCTCCCAATGGCCAAATTTGGGACAGTCAGAAAGAATTATGAGAGTATGGATTATAACACATTGAATAATACTTTTAAAAAATCCATGGATGTACATGGTTGAAGAAAAGGGGGAGAGTGAGAGAAACACTATGTTATACAAGAATGCCAGATACTTTATGAAGGAGAGAGAAAAATCTGAAAATTTCTCTTTTGCAGTTCCTAATGTAATAATTGATTCAGGGGTGCACTGGCTCATGCCTGTAATCCCAGCAGTTTGGGAGGCTGAGGTGAGAGGATCACTTGAGGCAAGGAATTTGAGACCAGCCTGGGTAACATAGACCCTGTCTTTATTAAAATAAAAAATAATTTTAAAGAAAGCACTGTCAATGATTGCTGAAACTATTGAGCGAGATGTTATCAGGGAGGATATTCACAGAATCTCAAGTATCACTCTGCATAGTCCTTATTAGTGACAAAGAAGAAAAGGTGTTTTTTGTTGTTGTTGTTGGTTTTTTTTTTAAAGCAAAGAACAAATCAGGCCGATTCCACCATAACTTATTGACCAAACCGCAACACCACTAAAAAAAGAGATAGCCAGACCTTACGTGCTTTCCAAAGGAAGAGCACAGCACTTCCTACAAAGTAGTCTTGGCAAAAGCAAGCAAACTAGAAGTGAGCCTCCAGATTCAACGCCCAAATTGTAAATCCAGATGAGTCTGTTAAATGCCACCTAGGGGCTGCAAAAAAATAAAACTTCAGACTTGGACAAACTCCACAGTCAAATGACCCAGTTTCTTCAAAATTAAACTGCAAGAGAAAAAAAGATAAAGGAGTGATGAGAAGGGATTTAAGAGCCATGTTGATCAGTGTGTGAACCTTAGTTGGATCACGATGCAGATAAACTAAGTTTTTAAAAAATGAGGCAGAAGAACTGTGAATACAGACTGTACATTTGATGATACAGAGTGACATGATACTATGTCTACAGTTGCTTCACAATAATTTGGAAGAAGGGGAGTTGGGTCGGGATACGGGGGAAGCACAGTTAGCCTTGGGCAGATAGCTACGGGGAGGATCAATGTGTGTTCATTAAAATATCTTGCTGTCTACTTTTGAAATACCTTTGCAAGTTTTTATAATGAAAAATTAAAAATTAATTAATAGTGGGATAACTTCATATTTTGTGCCCCCTTATGCAATGCATTGACGAGTACATGTCACCTATGTAGAATGGTGCCAAAAATACATAACCTGAATCTAATCATGAGGAAACACTCAGATAAGCTCAGAATACAAGACAAGGCAGTTGTCATGGTCTATCTAAAAAACAAGTCAGTGTTGTGAAAAGCAACAAAAAACACAAAATCAAATAGAATGCAAAACCTTGCTTGAGTGGATCTTATTGTCTCCAAAAAGTTATAAAAGACATTTTGGGAACAGTTGCAGGTATTAAAATATAGAATTACAGTAAATCGTACTATTAATGTTAATTATTTTCGGTACAATTATGGTTTTGTGGTTCTATAGGAGAATGTCCTTATCCGTGGGAGATACATGCTGAATTATATGAGGGCCAATCAATACAATGTCTGCAAATTACTTTAATGTGGGTATATATGGATTAGGTTGGCTCATATTAAATTGCTGTTTTCCTAAGTTAAAAACAGCCAAATATCAGCAAATGCCCATGGATCAACCTAATATTTGTTGAAACAGAGAAAGAAAGCAAATGCAGTGACAAATAATGGGTCTAGATAAAGAATCGACAGGTGTTTGTACTATTTGTTCACCTTTCTGTGTGTTTGAACTTTTTTTAAAACAAAGAATTGGGAGAAAATAGTCAACTTACAAAAATGAACTCCAGCAGATACATATTTGTGGATTAAGTGTGCTGACACTGTTCCCTCTGGGATCACTTATCCCCTAATAGCATTTGAATTCTGTTAGAATTAATCCCCAACTACTTAAGTTGACTTACAATATAGAAAACTACTTATTTCATTGTATGAACTTTCTACTTTCTGAATCAGCCTATGACAAAGAAGAAAAAATAAATAGTGTAGCTGAACACTAAAAAAAGAGCTTAATAATATTTTATGGTATCTTTTTTATGTAGATGACATTTAAAGATGCATCCACTGTAGGAGAAAAAAGAGATCATTGGTTCTCAGAAACAAGTTTTGTTTTTGTCAAGAGATCAAAAATGTCTTCTCTCTGGCCTGGTTTTAACATTCTCTGTAAAACAGGGTATATCTAGAATTTTAAGTTTTATCTCCCCCACCCCCCCTACACCTTATTTTCCCATGAGTTCTTAGCTGAATGAAACGTGTTTTGCTCAGGGTTACTGGGGACTTCTGGGCAACCGTGGCAGTTGGATGAAGTAATGAGATCTCTTACTCCCCTCCAGAAAATGTCCCTAAGTGATTAGCAAGAGCCCCTGGTTTAATCCTGCCTCTTTTGAATCCAAAACAGATCCCTAAAGAAGTGGCTGACATCTTTAACGCCCCCAGTGATGATGAAGAGTTTGTCGGCTTCCGAGATGATGTTCCCATGGAAACCGTCTCGTCAGAGGAGAGCTGCGATAGTTTTGACTCACTGGAGTCAGGGAAACAGGTACGGATGATTCCTTCCAAGTAGGTGTGTTCATCTGGAGGCCTGAATCTTGGTTTAGATGTTCTTTTATTTGAACATGGTGTGAGATTGGTGAGATCAGTTCATTGTCTAGCATTTTATTTTAGAAACATTGTATCTTCCTGTTTTAAAAAACTGGTGAGAGAACCTAGTTCACTTTGTTGTGCTAATCCTTCCCTGTACCATAATTCTTTTTTTTTTAAATGGACTTCACGTGATCCAAGTGCATGTTCTTGGCTGCCTTGGGGCTGTAACCTGCGGCGAGGCTGTGTTCAGTCTTCCCACAGAGGCGAGGCTGCGGCGAGGCTGCGGCGAGGCATGAGGGATCGTGTGGTTATGGGGAGACAATTGCACCTCTGTGGTCCTGTGGTGCAATTCTGTTGGCATGTCACTCTTGGGATTGCTGGGGAGAGCCTTATTCTTGCGTTAATTACTTTGATCTCTAGCACACACAAGTTAGTTCTCTGAGAGGTGTAGATTCCTGGAGGGTCACATTGTGTCCTGTAGTAGAATGGCCAATCAAAATCTCTACCCTTCAGTGGCATTTTCTTCTGAGTTCATTGCAGCACTCAGAATTCCTCATTCTCCCTTGACCACGGGCCTCTCCAAAACGGCAGCAAATTAAATCCACCTTGCCTCCACTGGGCAAGTACAGGAAGGGAAGCAGTTAATTATATGTAAGTGAAGTGCCTGCTTAATTATGCGGGCCGCTGTAAGTTCTGGCCTGGGTGGGAGCTGTGCTTTCTGAGATCGCTGGGGGCTCCCTGGTCTGTGCTGTCCTCATCTCATTTGGCATCTCCACAGCAGTTGACCCCACCAGCCACCTCCTTCTAGCCCCCTGAGTTTCTTCCTCTCTGTTACACCTTTTTCTCTATTATTATTTTCTTTCTTTCCAAGATGGGGTATCACTTTGTCACTCAGGCTTGAGTGCAGTGGCGTGATCTCAGCTCACTGCAACTTCCACCTCCCGGGTTCAAGCAATTCTCCCAGCCTCAGCCTCCCGAGTAGCTGGGATTACAGGCTCCCGCCACCATGCCTGGCTTCTTTTTTTTCTTTTTTTTTTTTTTTTAGTAGAGAAGGGGTTTTGCCATGTTGACCAGGCTGGTCTCGAGCTCCCGACCTCAGGTGATCCGCCCGCCTCGGCCTCCCAAAGTGCTGGAATTACAGGCGAGAGCCACTGCACCCGGCCTGCTCTTTGTTACTATCGCTTGTTGTCCCTGTCCCTGTCCCTAAATGCGGATGTTCTCTAAGGTTTTGTCTTCAATCTTCTCACTTAGTGAACTTGTCTGTTGTCCTGCTTTGAGCTGTTACTGTATTGTTTTGTGGAGCTTGTCTTCTCTCTGCAGCCCCAGGTGGTTTCTGACTACCAGTTGGACTGGTCCTGGTTGCTAAGGGAGATCCGAAGCTCACTTCTCCTTCCCTTGGTTGTCTTTCTGGCTTCCCCCTTTCCCCATCTGGTTCTTCATCTTTTGTTGTTCTTGGCCTTCCTTTGCCTCTTCCATCTCCTTGACTCCCATCCAGGAGTTGATGAAACTTCTGCTGTGTTCCTGGTGTCCATCCTTCCCTTCCCTCTGCAGCTGCCGTAGCCCTCGTAGCTCTTACCTGAATGCTCATCCCTTCTTACTAGGATCTGTTATAGGACTGAGCTGTGGTCAGCTCCTCCCTTACTCAGCCCTCCATCTGAGCACAGTCAGGCAGTGGGGAGAGCAGAGCCTGTTGGATCCACCTTGAGGAGCATTTGAGCAGGGCAGAACATGTCTAAAGGGCCGAGCACAGAGCCTGGCAGGCACCGGGCATTAAGAAACAGAACAGCTGCTTCTGCTGCTGTGATGACTACTTTTGTAGTCAGGCTTGTTCTCCCCGGGGAGGACAGTGTGCCAACTGCTTTTCATACAAATATTGCATTTAATCCACAGAACTCCCTGGGAAGCTGCAGGTGCTGTTACTATCCCCATTTTGCAAGTGATGAAACTGAAGTTCAGGAAGGTGTAATGACTTGCCCAAGGCCCCACATCTGGGAAGTCCCAAGCTGGGATGTTCCAAATCCAGGGCCACCACTTCTCAGCCTCTTACCCCCTGGGTCTCTTTTCTACCTGCTATGCTGCAGGACGTAGGAACTGAATTGACATGCTCATTATCACTGTTCTGCCCTTTCTGCCCACTGGTCCATGCTGTCCTTCCTGCCTATCTGTGCTGTCACCATTTTTCTAGCCTCTACTGTGGCTCACATCCAGTTATGCTACTTCTTCCATGAAGTCTTACTGGATTTTCTTTCCCTCCATGTGCCATATTGCTTGTGTATCCCTTAGAGCACTGACCCTCACCAGGGTTAGTCGTGGACCTATCTGCCTCCCTGTTAGACTGTAAACTCCTTGAAGAAGGGGGGACCTCATATTTGAATGGTGCTTTGTAGCTTCCCTGGCTGACTTTTCGTCCCCATGTATTGTTCCTTTCCTCTCATTTCAGGCATCCAACACCGCACGTGACTGTATACAGTGAGCACGGGGGTGGTTGTTTGCTGGGTGCAGTTGAAATGGGGTGTTTGGCTGTCTGGTTCAACAGGCCATTGCTCTCTAGTGTGTTTCTTCATGTCACATGGACTTCAAAATAAGTTTATCCACCTATGTTAGCTTCTCCTCTGATGCGTTACTTGCTTATTGTCCTGATCATGGTAGATGACCAAGGCCCATAGCATAGTGCCCAGTATTGATTTTGAGGGAGAATGAACCAGTGCCAGAGAGCAATTAGCAGTGCAAGGGTTTCTAACTCAGAATGCAGTGGAGCAGTGTGGAGTGGAGGTTGGCATCATACAGACCCACATGAAAAACAGTGTTTACACACTTTGGAGTAAGGAAACTAAAGCATAGGCCTCAGTTCAGGACAACGGTAAGTTGTTTTTCTCTATCAGGACTGACCATCAAAGATGGTGATCTCTCCCAGGATGCCCATTGCCCTGTGAGGCCAGCACACAAGATCAAAATAGCCAGAAAAACTGGAAGATGGGAACTCACTGCTTCAAGGCTTGCCCTGTTCTCTTCAGGCCCTAGGCAGGGGCTTTAGGTAGTTGATGAAATTTACACACAGAAATACCGCCCTAAATTAGCCTGCAGGGGCTGGCCCAAGGCTCTGTGAGCCAGATGTTTCTTGCACTGAGAGGCCTCAGGTGCATGGTGGGTTTCCTTAGCAGCAGCTGTGTACCATTCTTCCTTAATAATCAAGCCCTGGCTGCTTCTCTACCCTGACCCCACACACTCATGATCCATTTTAACCAATAGAGAGAAGCTGTGCGAACTTGCACACAGTATGTGTATGCTAACTCTGGTCTCCCTTAAACACGATTTGAATTTCACTTTAAAGAAACTTCCCTTTTGTGTGTGCAATTTTTTTTTTTCAAGCAGCTGCACTACAGCTATCAACAAAGGAACAAAGTAATTTAGCTCTGAGCAAACTCACTCCAATTACCCATAATAATTCATAGGAGACATTTTTAAGCTTACAGAATGCTAGATGTAGGCATTTCTTTGTGTGCCCCTGTAAGTTTTTCCACTTGTCTGTCTATTTTTCCCCAGAGATATATGAGCCCAAAGAAGTATATAATTAAAATCAGGGAAAGGCAGGGGTTAGATACAGATTCTCAGCCAAGTGTGGTGTTACAAGGGGTCATTGCTATATCAGGGATGGAGGGAAGAGACGTCAGAGGAAACTGGGGACAGACTCGAACACTGATGAGGCGTGGCGGGCTTACAGGAGGCTGGTCTCATGGGTCTCCCTTTGGTCTGCAGTTTATTTCCTCTTTCTTTCAAGCATACTTTTAAGAGAGCTGAGTTTCCTTCTTTGCCCTATTTCAAAAGCAAGAAAAAGTATTAGAAAATGCCTTTTCTTAAAGAGTCACATTGCATCTTTCCTTCTGCTCACTTGCCACCTAACCATGGTTGTTCACCTCTCACCTCCTGCAGGAGAGAAATTCCTGGGGGTGACCTTGGGTGAGCTTTCCATCAGGCCGCCGTGGTGTCTGCTCATGGAGCAAGTCTAGGCTCTCTGGTGTTGGGCAGTGAGGGCTGGGAGAGGCCTCAGCCTTTTCCTACAGAGAAACTTGCGGTTGGTGAACGGGAGGCATGCTCACTCACTTGGAGGAGACTCCGGCTTTGAAAGGCTGTTGGAAAGGGAAGCCAGCATGTGGGAGGGAGCCAGGTTTTCTCCTCATGTCTTCTTTCTATGTGTTTTGGTTCTGTGTGAAAGCAGACGTGTCTGGTGCCAGCTTTGGCAGGAGAAGCTGAATTCCATGAGCACTTACCAGTCACATTAGAAGCTGATTGAGACTACACCCAATTTTTAAAAATTGTCTGATTTGTAGGTCTGAATTTTGTAAGCTTTAGAAAATGTGTATATATATAATTTATATATGTATGTGGGTTTTTTTGAGAGAGGGTCTTGCTCTGTCACCCAGGCTGGAGTGACAGTGGTGTAATCTCGGCTGCAACCCAGGCTGGAGTGCGGTGGTGTGCAGCTCACTGCTGGCTCGACCTCCCAGGGTTGCGTAATCCTCCCACCTTTGCCTCCCAAGTAACTGGGACTACAGGTACACGCCACCAGACCCCAGCTGATTTTTGTATTTTTTGCAGAGACGAGATCTCACTATGTTGCTCAGGCTTGAACTCCTGAGTTCAAGTGATCTGCCTGCCTCGGTCTCCCAAACTGCTGGGATTACAGGGTGAGCCACTGCACCCGGCCAGTGTTTGTTTTTTGTTTTTTGTTTTTTTTTTATTGTGGTAAAATACACATAACATGAAATATACCATTTCAGCTGTTTTTGATGTGTACAGTTCAGTGCGTTAAGTACGTTCACATTGTTGTCCGTCCATTTTCGTCATCTCCATCAGAAACTCTGCACCCGTTCAGTAGCTCCTCATTCTACCTTTCCCTGGTAACCTCTATTCTACTTTCCGTCTCTGATGTATGTGTGTCTTTAATTTAGCAGGATGTGCGCTTTCATTCCAAATACTTCACAGAAGAGCTAAGAAGAATTTTTATAGAGGACACTGACTCAGAGACTGAGGATTTTGCAGGATTTACGCAGAGTGATCTGAATGGAAAGACTAATCCAGAAGTAATGGTAATAATTACAACAGGAAGGGATGTGGGTGGTAATGTTTTTAATCCTGTTTCTGAATTAGAGTTTTACTTTCAAGAAGTCACTTCACAAGTGAAAAGATTTTACTTTTTCTTACATATTTCTTATAAGCAATTCACATAACCTAAAAAAATTGCTCCTGGAAGGCTAATCCCTGGTCCACCAGTCCATTATTCTCTTAGAGAAAATCCGTTACTTTTCCCCTCATGCCTGTGGGGTCTGGGGATGTGTCCCAGGCATCCTTTGTTGTCCTTCTCAAAGAATTTCTCTCTCTTGGCCAGGCGCGGTGGTTCATGACTGTAATCCCAGCACTTTGGGAGGCCGAGCTGACCAATATGGTGAAACCCCGTCTCTACTCAAAATACAAAAATTAGCCAGGCATGGTGGTGGGCACCTGTAATTCAAGCTACTCAGGAGGCTGAGGCAGGAGGATTACTTGAACCCGGGAGGCGGAGGTTGCAGTGAGCTGAGATTGAGCCACTGCACTCCAGCCTGGGTGACAGAGTGAGACTCCATCTCAAAAAAAAAAAAAAAGAAAAACAGAAAACATTATCTCAAGAGTTTCTTAAACCTCTTTTATCTAAAAGTTTATCTTAGAGTGACAACTTCCTTGAGATACTTTCTTACTGTATGTGAAGTGACAGTTTTTGGTTTGAAGTTAATTTGGCAAAAATGTGGCTGTGGTACAAGCTGGGTGTTCCCCATGCATTGTGGATTTGGATTTGTCATGCTTTTTAGTGTTAAAGATGACCCAGGCCTGCCTGGATTCTGGAGGGAAGTCTACTCTCAGCACTTCCTATGAACAGACTTGTGAGTTGATTTGTTTTATCCTGCGCAGTTAGGCTAGTTTACTGCCCACTCGTGTTTGAATCTGAAGGTAACTTTAAGGCACAGCCTTTGGATTTAAGTGCAGAAATGTTTTCTGCTAAAAACAGCATACATTTATGCAAAAAATAAACATGCTACAGTATGAAGATGGAATGTAGAGTTTAAGCCTCTTCACAGTCAGAAGCTGCTAAGGACTAAGTTTTGGCAGAAACTCTGTAGAGGTTAAATAAGCTGTGACTCCTAGGCCTGCCTCATCCTTCACCTGTCCTGGGAGAGAATGTAGAGCATAAAAGCCCGCATGGTAGGCTGCTTTGTTTGATGGTGATTTTTTGCTATGAGTAGCAACATAGAGCTGTGCCAGCCTGGAGGCCCCAGGTCTCCTTTGGCTTTCTTTGCAGAAGCTGTTTGTGTGGCAGTTCATCAGTTCTGGCCAGCGAGTCCCCAGTTTCTTGCCAGCATGATATTAAAATCCTTCTAAAACCCTAATGGGCATCATTTGTTAGCGACGTACTTATTTTCTGTTCTTTAGTGAAGTGATGTCTGGTTATTTGAAGCATTTGTGTTTCTAGTGAGAGAAAGTGAATTACCCCAGAAGTCTTCCCTCCCACCTGCCCCCAAGTCTGTGGACTGTGATGTGTTACGTAGATCATGATATAGCTTACAGTTCAGCAAAGGCCCCTGCAAATTTTATTTTAGAATCCAGTGACAAGAAAAGCATTGTTGCCTCCCAGCCCAGCCCCCTGCCCACCCCTGTGGGAACTGGCGAGCCTATCTTTCTTGATAATGGGATATTGCTGTAACCTTGGTTTCCAGGGGCCTGCTGGCCGGATGCGAAATAGCCACATCCACGTGCTAGACTTGTGCTCTTCTCTCGGGTCTGATTCTGGGCTGCTGTGGACCATTTGTTCTTTCCTTCCTTCAGGCCTCTGTAGTGAGCCGTTCTACATCTGGTAAAGAGAGGCCTGCAGATGATGAGGATGGTAGATAAATGGATCAAAACTGAAGTTCTTCCCTGACAGTGTCCCCTAAAATTGGGTTCCTTTGCCGTACACCATTTTGAATTCTGAAGCTATTAATATGGAAAGTTCAGGGTATTAAAAAAAATAGGTAAATCAGTGCCGTATAGTATTATTTCTCACTTGGCTTGGTGTGGATATACTAGGGTTGGCAGTTATCTGCCTTTTTTTTTCTCCTTCTGTCTTATTTCTAACTTTAGTCCAATGAGAATTCGGGGTTGGTGGTGGTCACTGGGGAAGAAGCAGAGTCCCTGAATTGATCCTGGGCCCATATTGGTGCCATTCCACGCTCTTGGTAGATTTTCAGAATTCCCAGATAATGGTTCCCAAAGTTTTCTAACTTGTGGTCATGGAAGGATGCCCAGAAGATGTCCTGGATCTCACATACTTAAACCTGTCTCGGTACCACTAAGAGTCCTGTCACATCTAAGCCGTCACCTAGGTGATGTAACCCTGTTACTGCCTTCCATATTTACTGTGTTCTCACTTGTAAAACGGAGCAATGTTTGAATGCTGGAGACCTCTACCATGTGGAATTTGAACACGTCAGGTGAGGATTTATGGAGTTGACTGAGTGGTGTTTTGCTACAACCTGTCGAGCTTCCTGACCTGGTTTCACCTCATGGCTCTGTGAGGGTTCCAGGGAAGGGAAAGGTGCCCCTTGACTGAGGACCCAGTGGCAGGTCATCTGCCTGTCCTGGGTCACTGCCCTGAGGTGCAGTCAGCTCTCCCGCCCCGTTACTCAGGAGTCCGGTTCCTGCTATTTAGAGGAGACCAGTCAGCATTTTCCCCCCATAGCACCCTTTCCTGTCTGAAGATCACATCTGTCAGGCATACCCTTTTTTGTGACTGTCTCTCCTCTTGCTGGTGCTCCTTGGTCGTCCCTCGGTGGAGGAGCCCACCCTGTCAGTGTTTCGCTTACAGCCCTCATGCTCCCAATGAAACCCAGTTCTGTCATGGGTATGACAGTGCACTGTTCGGTAGTAGGTTGCCTGCTCTTTGATTTTATTCATCAACCAATTTCTTGGACATTTAAAGGAAATTCAGAGGGAACTCATAATATGAAGGGAAAGCTTTTCATTTTTCATGTTTTTTCTCATATGCTGTCAGAGTTGTTTTAAATGCATGTCTTTTTTGTGGGTCTGTAACAGTGTCTTTGTGCTTTTTCTTGCTCTTATTTTATTAGGTCGTGGAGTCAGATTTGAGTGATGATGGCAAAGCATCTTTGGTGAGTGAGGAAAAGGAAGATGAAGAAGAAGATAAGGCTACCCCAAGAAGAAGCAGGTCTAGAAGAAGTAGTATTGGTCTTCGAGTAGCCTTTCAGTTCCCCACCAAGAAGCTGGCCAACAAACCAGATAAAAACAGTTCTTCCGAGCAGTTGTTTTCTAGCTCACGCTTACAGAATGAGAAAGAAACAGTTCTTGGAAGAAAGAAAGGCCGTAGACAGGTGATGCAAAGGGAAGATTCTACCTCTGAGTCTGAGGACGACTCTCGGGATGAGAGCCAGGAGAGTTCGGATGCTCTGCTGAAAAGGACCATGAACATCAAGGAGAACAAAGCCATGGTGAGGCTTCACGGAGGGTGCCCTGGGAGTTGGCATCAGGCTCTGGCAGCAGTTGCTGGGCTCCCAGAACCACTTTGAACGACTTTGCTTCTATAGTTGCTGTTGTTGCTTTGGCTTCTGTCAGGAAAATGTACTCTGGGTGTTGTGTATCCTTTTTCTTTTCCAGAACCCAGAGCGACTGTTACATGATCAGCTCTGGTTTGGGAACAGAAAGAGATTCCCCAGGACCATTTTTAGCCCTTACACGGTGCCATCATGCTGCTTACTGTTGACCAAGCTAAGTTCTAAGTATATAGTTGTGTTGGGGATGACAGGGGCTGAACTGGCCTGTTCCCAGCAGAGTAAAGCAGGGGAAGTGGGATGTCACCAAGTCCACTGAGGAGCTGCGAGGAGCAGGTTGGGCAGGTAGCTTTTCACCATGGAACCACTCTTCTGTGGTGACCGGCCCTGGTTCTGAGACTTCTCAAGGAATGGAAGAAGTCTAGGAATTAAAACAACCTCAACAGTGTTAATTCACTCTAAAATGTCTTCATTAGAACAATGAATGGAACAAGGTGAAATCTTTGTTACATATATTTGGTTTTTCTATATGTAATCAGTTACTGTTAATCTGATCATTGTAGAGAATCATTGTTTGCTTCACAATTGCTTATCTACAGAGTTTTTTTTTTTAAATAGTTCTACCACTTATAATCACTTTTAGCATTTTTGTGTTTTTTTAATCTTTTCCTTTTAAAAAAATAATGATGTAGTGATACTGTATATGCAAGCTTATATGTCTAATATAAATCACTTACAAAAATGGAATGCCTACTTTCGGGTTATTTTTATCCTAAGAAACATTTTTACTTAGCTAAGGGAAATTTTCAGCACTGTATCCATCTACATCTTTAAGAGCTATTTTCTTTATGATTTTTTTGGTGGCACTCATATAATTGTATAAACTAAAATGAATCCTAATTAAATTCTCTGGCATATTAATGCCTATTATTTGGTGTTATTAGTTGTTCACTTAGGAATATCTTCGTAAATTACTTTGATAATTTATTTAAAGAATCAGATTTTTGGAGCTCTAACCATCGAAATAATCTTAATTGAGCTTTTTCTTTTTTGAACATCCTGAAACTTGAGACTCACATGTGCAAAATGAATTGTCCCAGGGTCACACTGCCTTGGATTAGCCTCCGAGTCAGGATCGGAACCTCATGCTCCAGCTCTTGCTCATTCCAGGACTGTTTTCCTGGTGTTGTGTTGTCCTTATATATAAGGAATAGGCTAGTGTTCATTCGTATGAATGATGACATCAGCATCTCAGGTCTGGAGATAAAATCTTTACATGTGAGGTGAAAAGTATAACTGTTGCGGGTTATGTAAACTATTCAAGTTAAGTTTCTTATGATAGCAAAATGGAAGACTTGAGATAGGTGTTGGATGACCTAACCCTGGAGCACTATTTATGTAAGATCCTTTCTTATGTTCTGAACTTCAGCTTGCCCAGTTATTGGCGGAATTGAACTCAATGCCAGATTTCTTCCCAGTACGAACCCCGACCTCAGCTTCTGTAAGTAGAACTCCTTATAATTATAGCAATACTGATATATGGTGATCAGCCACCAGATGGCTTTTATTCAAGAGAGTCCCCAGTTGCCTCTGTCTGTGCTCTTGATTTCAGAGGAAGAAAACAGTGAGGCGAGCCTTCTCGGAGGGACAGATCACGCGGCGCATGAATCCAACCCGGAGTGCACGGCCTCCTGAGAAGTTTGCTCTAGAGAACTTCACTGTCTCAGCCGCCAAATTTGCAGAAGAGTTTTACAGCTTCCGAAGAAGGAAGACAATTAGTGGGGTATTTTCTGACTAATATGTGAATTCGTTTTTGTCTGAGCTACCGTTCCTCCAAACGTGAATGCACATCACTGTCACCCCAGGGCTGTTTCTGACCCTGTGGGTCTGCGGCAGCTGAGAACTTGCATTTCTATCTGCTTCCCAGGTGATGCCGTTGCTCCCGAGATCATACTTTGAGAAGCAGCCCTGGTCTAAGCTGGAGGTCACAGAGAGAGTCTTTTATCCAAGCTGAGCTGAGAAGCAGCTCATTTGTTAGGACCCTGCTTTGATCTCTGCTGCAGGCAGTAAAGGCCTGTCCACAGCTCCAGTCAGCTTTGTGGTGTCCACTTCGTGGAAAAGTGCAGTGATTCCTCCTTGCCTTTCTATTTTAGGCATGAGGCGTTTCAAGCGATTTCAGTTTGGAGGGAGAAACTTTGGACTCATTTGTGGGTTTGGCTGTTCAGTGTAGTTCACCTCTTCACAGAGTTTACAGCAAAGAACCAAAAACCTTGATTTTCTCCTTTATGACTGTATCGCCTTGCTGAGAAGGAAGCTTGGCAGGTGGCAGGAGCTCAGTAAATAACTAAATGAAATGGCTGCAGGAAAATAGAAGAGGGACAGGGTTAACATTAATGGATATCTTTGAGAGTTTAAAATATTTATAATTTTTTTTATAACTGCTCAAAACATCTCACTCCAGGTTCTGCCTGTGTTCACTGTGCAGGGGAAATGCCGGGAGTATAGACGACGTCACCGTATATCTTCTTTTCGGCCAGTGGAGGATATCACTGAAGAAGACTTAGAAAATGTTGCCATAACTGTTCGAGATAAAATCTATGATAAAGTTCTGGTAAATTATATATTATGGGTAGTTTGCATGATTGTCATTCTTATTAGGAGTCTAAAGCATTGATATTTGAAATCTCACTTGTTTTTAAACTCTATCAGGGCTTATGCCATCTCACCAAGGGCTCAGAGCCAGGTTCTGAGTTGGAGGCTCAAGGGTCAGCTGTACCTGGGAGGCAGCCTAGTGCAGTAATTCCCATCAGGACAGCAGTCTCTCTTAGGGATGCATACAATCTGGGGGAAGGGAAGGGTATAGTTTAAAAGGGATTTTTATATGTAACTTACGGTTTAAATATTTATATAGTTTTATGTTTTAAATATTGAAAAAAGTTAGTGTATTTGGGGGGTAATATAACCATAGAAAATAAAGTTTGGCAGAATATCTGGTAGGAAACAGGTTAAATTTCTTGTAAATGGTGATTTAGAGGGAGGCTTTGCGTTTTGCTTTTTTTATGTTTTTCTGGATAATGGAACACTGTCAAGATAGTATTAAAATGCTTTAAATTTAGTTGTCAATATTAAAAAAAAATAGATTTCACATTGAAGATATGCAGGTCTGCAGAGCTAGGCTGGGGTCAAGGTGATGCCACCCAAGGCTCATTGCCACTCAGTCACTTGTCACCTTTCAGGGGCTCTGCCACCCCTGACTTAAGCTTTTCTCTGGTCTGTCTTCCTGACAGCCTGATCATTTCATTCCTTTTGGGTCTCTGCTCAGCCTCATCTGACCTAATATGCTTCTCTGGCCACAGACCTGTGATGGTTACATTCTAGAGTAGTAGTCCCCATTCTTTTTGGCACCGGGGACTGGTTTTGTGAAAGACAATTTTTCCATGGATTTGCGGGGTGGACAGGGGATGGTTTCAGGATGAAACTGTTCCACCTCAGATTATCAGGCATTAGATTCTTTTAAAGGGTGCACAACCCAGATCCCTCACATGCACAATTCACGATAGATGGTTTGTGCTCTTATGAGAATCTAATGGTGCCACTGATCTGACAGGAGGAGGCAGAGCGCAGGCGGTAATGCTCGCCCACCCGCTGCTCACTTCCTGCTGTGCAGCCCGGTTCCAAACAGGCCACAGACTGGTTCTGGCCTGGGGGCTCGGGACTCCTTGTCTAGAGACGATGCTATGGTTCTTAGGAAGATAGTCCTGCTTCATTTGAGGAGACAGGTGGTACTTCTTCATACACTTGGAAATGCACATGATGGCATCTGGCCTCAGTGGGCATCAGCATATCCCTGTGTTCACCTGCTCACTGCCTTCCCCCCGTAGGGTAACACGTGCCATCAGTGTCGCCAAAAGACCATCGACACCAAGACGGTGTGTCGGAACCAGGGTTGCTGTGGTGTGCGAGGACAGTTCTGTGGACCATGCCTGCGGAACCGCTATGGGGAGGATGTCAGGTCGGCGTTGCTGGACCCGGTAGGCGCAGTGTTTGCATTTGTTGTAAATTGTATTGATGAAGGAAGCAAGCTGAAGATGGGCTTCCTGGGTTCTCACGGGGAACTGGGAGGTCCAGAACTCTGGTTTTTCCCTTCCATTTGTGTCTTAAGGCTCCAGGGAAAATGAAAAATAGGGATTCATTCTGGAAAGAGAGCAAGCTGACCAGTGAATAGAAGAATTTGTTAGATTTTCCATTGTCAGAGCAAAACTTGCTTACAGTCCTCTAGTTTTATACAAGTAATCCCTGTACCTGTCCTTCAGCAAAGTGATTTCCCTCTCATTTGTTTTTCTGGGCCAGGCTGAGAGGGAGGTGTACACTGCAGTATTAAGTGCTTTCTGTGTGCCTGGTACTGTGCAAGCTGTTGCTCACTCTTATAAATTCGTTTAATCCCATGAAATAGGTGTATAACCTGTCTCTCTCTCAGCTCCCTTGGTAAAATGAGACATAGTATCATGGTGAGTAGGCACGACCTTGAGCCTGGGGCAGTCCTGCTCCCAAGTGTGGCATCTTAGGCAGCAGTCATGGGGTAAATATATCGTCCTCAACTGACCAGCATAAACTGCTGCTCAGGTTAGTCATTCAACAATAAGCACACATTGAAAGGGCTGAAATTCACACCTTGATCTTTTGGAAACCTTGTGCTCCTAAACCAGGGCTGACATCCTAGGCCTGTGACCTGCACACTCACACAAGGCCCTGTGCTTGGCCAAATGCTTGTGAAACTCTCCATAATTTTTAAACAGGGAGCCCTGAAAGGTGTCGTTTTTCAGTGTTTGCATGTGACGTGGGGTGATCAGCCTTCCTGCCTCGTGAGGAGCCCCCTGGGACGTAGACTGAAAGATGCCATGTGATTAAAGGTTGGAGGAGAGGCCAGCTGAGCTAGTCTGGATCCGAATCCCAGTTCTTGCCAGAGCCTGTAGATAATGAGCGAAGTGTCTGCTGTCATCTCTCTGTTAGGATTGGGTGTGTCCCCCCTGTCGTGGGATCTGCAATTGCAGCTACTGTCGGAAGCGTGATGGCCGCTGTGCCACAGGAATCCTCATTCATCTGGCCAAGTTTTATGGTTATAACAATGTTAAGGAATATCTGGAGAGGTAAGTCTCTAGCAGCTTAAAAACAGCTTGAAATCCCGAGGCCGAGCACGGGCGATCCTCTTGGCAAGTAGTTGTTGCCTTCCTCTTTGACTTATATAAACCACGAGTGCCATCTGTTCTGTATCTGTTTGCATTGGAAAAGCTCAGGCCTGATATTTTCCCTATTAGGGAATATTCTCCTTTGCTAGATTTTTCAACTCAACTCCATGTTGCCTTTAACCAAAATTTCTCCTTGAGGTGTATGACAGAAATGGAAGGAGTAAACAAGGCAGGCTGAGGGGAAATGACATAGATTATGAAAAGGCAGCCATAATCCTAGTGCAGAGAGAGTGTTCAGGGCAAGAGGACAGAATGTGAGCTACAAGTTTCATTAATGTGATAAACTCTGAATCGTGGTTCTGGAATGCGGGAGTGAGGCAAGTCGTGCTTCGGGCGTACTGTACCAGAGGGTGTACCGATATTGATGCAGAAAATGTCAGGATTTCGAGTGTCAGGAGATCTGGGTTCTGGCTTTGTACTCTTAGATGATTATAGAACCTCTCAAGCTTTGTACTAATTACTTACCAAATATTTCTCATCTTTTTCTCAGCTTACAAAAGGAGCTGGTAGAAGACAATTAAGAGGAAAACAGAACCAGCCACCTCACCATAGAGTACTCCAACAAGACATGCATACCATTTGTGCCTAAGATTTTTTACGGTTGTGTTTTTATACGGAAATTCTTTGTAGAGATTACTGTTTCTAAATACTATTTTTTTTAAGATTGTTTATATGCTTACAAAGATTTCTCAGGAAGACAGCAGAGCAGAGGAATCTATATAGATGTATGCACAGACCTATTTGTATGCTGAACTTTGTTCAGTGATTAAAAAGCACAGTTTAAATGGGGTGGGGTTAAAGTTCAGATAAGTTAGAAAACATTGTATGAGCAGCTCCTGCCTTGATCTATCTTTGGCTTCCCAAACAGTAACTCCAGGCCAAGTTTGCCTTAGCACGAGTGACCACAGTTTAATAGACCACACACATCGTTTAACCTGCTCTTGGTCATTGAAAATTTACACTGAACAAAGTGCAATTAACTGCAGAACAGTTTTATTAAAACTTGACTGAACAAAAGGGGACTGTCAACATTGTAGACACTGGAGGCCTCACAGAGTGCTAGCCTCTTCCTTCAGGACTCACCTGAGGCCTGCTGCTTTTATATTTTGAAAGAGTTTAAGGGCTAATAATTTTTAATTTAATTGGTTGTTTAAGAACTAAAATCTCCCTTCTTTCTGGCTGCATTGCTTTTGCATGTTCAGATGTGATATAGGTTTTTTTGAGATGGAGTCTTGTTCTGTTGCCCAGGCTGGAGTACAGTGGCGCAACCTCGGCTCACTGCAACCTTTGCCTCCTGGGTTCAAGCGATTCTTCTGCCTCCTGAGTAACTGGAACTACAGTTGTGTGCCACCACACCCTGTTAATTTTTTGTAGTTCTAATAGAGATGGGGTTTCACCATGTTAGCCAGGATGGTATCGATCTGACCTCGTGATCCACCCGCCTCGGCCTCCCAAAGTGCTGGGATTACAAGCGTGAGCCACCGCGCTCAGCCCTGAATAAGTTTCTAATATTTTGTCTGATTTTCACTCTCCTTTCTTCACTTAAAAAAGAATGCACGTGTGAGTTACTAAAAAGTTGTAATAGAATACATTAATGTGCATGGGAACAGTGCAGCAACACAACAGAAAATCCTCACTGCACTCCAGCCGAGGCTAGAGTTCTTACACTTCTAGCAGCAGAGCCACTCCGGCTAGAACCCATTTTGCAGTCTTCTCTTTGCTCTTCAGCCTGAAGGTCCAGATGTAGCTGGGGCCTCTCAGTTTGGTTCTGTACACAGGGCACTCGTAGGTCTGCTTGGTTTCTTGTCTCTCCACGGGGGTGGCTTTTGCAAAGATGACCGGCATAGGGCATGTCAGCTCCTTGAGACGGGCTTCGACAATGGTTCCTGATTGGGTGTCCCAGCGGGCGCCTATAGCAAAAACACAACGGTTGCAATTGTGTGGCAGGTTGCTACTGATGATCAAGTTGTTTGATGCAATAAACATTCTGGTTTTGTCAGATTTTTTGCTTGTCAGTGGTATTTTTACTGAGCTGGCCAGACTGAGCTTTGAAAGGTAGGTTACCCTGCCTGCAGTGGAGGCGCTGCTTTGCTTCCATGCTTAGTGGCTAAACTTTCCTTTGGAAGTAAGCTGATTTTATGAAATGGGATTCTAAGAGAATTCACATACATTAAACTAGTTTGCCCTCCTTTTAAATCTGCAGTTCAACACATTCCCTCCCCGTCGCACTTATTCTTTTACACCAAGTTCCAGTCGTTCATTTATGTCAGAACTTGTGGCACTTGCTTTAAAGTGAAAAAGGAACATCTTGGTAGGGACCAAGTGTCCCGTAGAATAAATACGTGGCCAGATAAATTTGGAAAATATTGCATAGTGTAGCCCGCTCTCAGAGATTCACCCTACACAGTCGCATCTTCAAGGCTTGGAGAAGTCTTGTAGTAAAATATTAGAGCAAATTTACAGACAGTTTTTAAACAGTAGAAGAAAGATTTTGAAATGATTATATTGAAAAGCCAAATAATGTGAATTCAGTCTAAGTCTAAAGTTATTCAGTGGCATTACCACCCCGATATATTTGCAAAATTTAAGTGGAAGAAATGAGATAATGACTAGCATAAGGTTACTGTGTGAGTGAGGAGATGCTGAGAAACAGTAAGAGGACAAACACTGATCTGAACCCAACTAAGAAAAGGTTCCCCACTTACTCCTTGGGGTGTCTTACCCTCCATGAAGAGTCCGTGGAGATATGCACCTTCCCTTGGCGGGTGGCCATAATCTTCCTTTGTTTTTTTGGTAACATCAACAGTCAAGCACGTTTTATCCAGTGGCCACTCATTTTTTCGAGCCATCGTCTGCATGATTGCTTTGGAAACATAACAAACATTGAATAGGATAAAAATGTTGCATATAAGGTTCCCAGGAGCTACCAGTAAATTGAGGCATCCTTTAGTCCCATAGGGTGTTTCTTGGGCATTTGCACGTGGCTGCGCTGGAGCAGGCTTTGACCAACTAAGGCCTGCAGGACAAGCTCGCTGTTTCTGTAAATAGTTTTATTGGAATAGCCACAACCATTTGTGTATTGTCTGTGGTTTTTGCACTATCAATAGAGTAGCTATGCGGCCCTTTCCAGAAAATGTTTACTAGAGGACACCGTGCCCCACCTCCCTTGGCTGCTCTTGCTGCTATAGGAGGCCCTTTCCCTCCTGCTGCTACTCGCCTGTCCAGAACTTTGTTTCCTCTGTAGCTGCTGGTCCTTTCTGTAATGGCTGCTGCTTGAGGATTGGTTAGCAGGGCAAGGAGCTGCCATCATAGGTAAATAGGGCAGGGCTTCTGGTAGGGTATGGTCCTGTCTGCATCAGGGACTGCACTGCCTCAGCCCTTACCCGTTAAGAAGGACTGAGGGTTGAAGAAGCCAGAGAGCCACACGACAGCCGGAAGGGCAAGGTCTTGTGTCCAAGAATCGAGTTCTCGGCATCGCAGGAGGAGGTCACTGAACCTGGTTTACGGGAGGTAGGAAGAAATAAACTTGTTCAGTAAAATAGCCATTTTCCAATATGTTTTGGTGGTGGGGGGCGGTTAGGGTAGGGTGGTGGTAGAGAAGTATACCACTGGTAGCTGGTCAAATCCTTCCGTGACAATTTGCAGGGCACTGTCCCTTTAAAGGGCTAGTTTGTTTCCCATTGGAGACGTGATGCCTGTAGCTCTTAACAGTAGGGCAAGATACACTGAGGAGTGTGGAAAACTCATTTCCATTTATGCAACAACTTCTATTAGAGCCTCTTCATGCTATATGGTGACTGTACAAAGGTCCTCACCCTATGACTTGGACTGACAAGTGCCAACTTGGAGGGATGGACAGGATGTCTGAGGATCAGGGATGGCAAGGCTGTGATGGTGGTTACAAGACCAGAGTTGCCAGGAAAGCCGATAGGCAGAGGGAACAACAAGTGCGGAGGCAGTGGAGCACGTGACAGCAGTCTAAGCACGTGCAGTAGCTGCCTGAAAGGGGGGAGGAAAAGGTTAATAAGGAAAACAAGTCAGCCACGAATGGCATGCCAGTGGTTTGAGAAACGCTGCTGTTACGTACATGTTCTCGGCTCCTCACAATTGGGCAAGGTAGGAAATATCTGCAGTTGACCTATAAGGAAGCTGGCTCACAGGGGCTAGGGACAGATGAACCTCTGATAAAATTGAGACAAGTGACACCTTGAATCGTCAGTTTCAGAGGCTGCCTAAAGGAGACCAGGAGAATGGAGTAGAGAGAGCATAGCCTCAATGTAAAAGCCAGAGTTCTCCAGAAGGAAGGGCTGGCACTGAAGTTTTCTAGGACCTTGTCTGCTTCAGAGTTGCAAAGGAAGTGGGGGTGAATGAGGAAACACCCTGACAAACCACATGGCAGAAAATGTCTGCCTGAGATATTTGGCTGACTGGGCTGTGAAGAAGAAAAGGTTCAGAATACTCACGTTCAAACTTATGTCACCACAAGGAAAATCCCTGTGCCTGGACCTATATTAAATTCTTCCAGATAGCTAGATCAGAAAAAGCATACTTGACGGTAAGAAGAAGAAACAGCATAGGCACCACACAAAGGAAAAAGGCGAAGAACAAGAAAAGCAAAGGCAGGCAGACATTTCTCTCAAAATGTTGCCATCATGAGGATAAACACTGCAGCCAATTTGTAACAACTAAAACAAGTGATTGTTGATATAAACAAGATCATGACTTAGAAGGGATCAGGTAGGAAAAAGTAAGGAAATTAAGTTTGAAGATCCCAGAAAAGAAGTAGAAAATATAGAAATGAAGCAAAAAGTGAAACGGCATAAGGGAGAATAACAAAAATAAATGGAAGTGAAGAGGTAAAGGGTTAGAGTGAAAGCAATAAAATGAAAGCTGAAATGAGGCCAGACGTGGTGGCTCACATCTGTAATCCCAGCACTTTGGGAGGCCGAGGCAGGTGGATCACTTGAGGTCAGGAGTTCGAGACCAGCCTGGCCAACATGGTGAAACCCCATCTCTACTAAAAATAACAAAAGTTGGCCGGGCATAATGGCACATGCCTGTAATCCCAGCTACTAGGGAGGCTGAGGCAGGAGAATTGCTTAAACCCAAGTGGCAGAGGTTGCAGTGAGCTGCGATCACGTCACTGCACTCCAGCCTAGGCAACAGAATGAGAATCCGTCCCCAAAAATAATAATAATTCTAGAAAATCTGAGTTTTCCTAAATTATACCTTTGAATCTATATAATCAAGGGCACATCACGTTCCAAGAAAATTTGGTAGAGAGTAATCAATGCTAATATAAAGAATAATAGGAACAATAAAGATAATCCCTGGATGGCCAGGGGAAAACCTGAAGCCATTTATAAAGGGAAAAGAAGTATGCTAGCTTTTGACATCTCCGTGGCAGCATCTGACAAGAGGAGAGTGATGGCTACAAAGGCCTCCAACTGAGGGTGTTACTATTTTTTAATAACTAGCCAAACTGTCATTCGGGTATAGACAGAAGAGTATATGGCATGAAAAACCACCAGCAAATCCAACAAACAGGAAGGTTTATAACCCAGGAAATAGAGAAGTCTTGAAGAAAATACTTAATTGTAAGTATATTTAAACTTCTCAGGAAAAGAGAATAGTCATAAGAAGGAAAACAGGAAATTATGAAACTAGGCTGGGCACCCTTCCAAAAATATAAACAACCTGGAACTGAAAATTATGGACAATGAAATATATTTTATTTTTTGAGACAGGGTCTTGCTCTGTCACCCAGGCCGGAGTGCAGTGGCATGATCATGGCTCATTGCACCCTTGACCTCTTGGGCTCAAGCAATCCTACCACCTCTACACCTTGAGTAGCTAGGACTGCAGTCGCATGCCACCACACCTGGCTAATTTTTATTTTATTTATTTTATTATTTTTAGAGACAGGGTCTCATTATGTTGCCCAGGCTGGCTTCGAACTCCTGAGCTCAAGTGATCCTCCTGCCTTGCCCTCCCAAAGCGCTGGGCATGAGCCACTGCACCCAACCTGGACAATGAAATCTAAATAATTAAGAGAAGAAACAGATTGGATACAGTTGAAGATATAATGAAGATCACCCAGAACTGATGAAGTCTACAAGTATACAGCTGAGAGACACTGAAAACGTTAAGAGGTCTGGCAGATAAAT